TCGACTTTTAATAATGTAATATGTTACATTTAGATTTATTTAACACCGTTCAGTTCCCCTGATCCTGACAGCAGCAACTGCCTCTGATAAGAAGTTTTCTTTGGTAGTGGAACATGACAGAGGTCTTTCAAAACACTGGGACTGTCTCCTGTCAGGCTAAGGCTGAAGAGGTGCAGTCGAATTAAGAGATTGATTGACACCTTTTTTTTTTTAAACCAATAGATTATTTCTGCTGCCTGGTTTCTGGGACAGATTCTTCAGGCTTATAAAAAATGTGACACAGTTCTCACTTTAAACAGTGCCGAAACATTTAATAAAATCATACAAAACATGTTAACAATGGAAAGTAAATGGTGGAAACAGTAATTTGTGCATTTTATGCATTCTTAAGGCATGGCTGCTAAATGTATGAATGAATCTGCAAATAAACACACATATACCAGCTGAAAAAAACACAAATAGGCCAGCTGTTGTATCACTTAGCTCCAATTGAATCCCACAATTCCATAATCATTTATTCTAATCACTCAATCGAATAGACATAATTTGGATTCAAATTTTACCAGAGTAATTAGTCACCATTGAAAATATCCTAAGCTTGAATGTTGGTGCTAACAGACAGGTTGGCTCAACAAGAATCTTAAAGGGTAAACTGACACAAAAGGGAATAAAATCATTGTACTTTTTGTGTGTTTTCTTTCCATTTATGTTTTCTAGTTTTGACTGGTGCCAAAGGAAAAGGGGATCAAACTTACCTCCACAGTGTTACAATCGCTTTTCTGGTGTGCTTTTCACTGACGGAAAATTTATGGTCAACGCCAACAAGTTAAAATTCATGAAACTTGAGAAGCAGCTGAAAACTGGGGATACGATTTTTACCTCTGGAAATCGTGCTCAGGTGACAATTTGCTTTTTTTCATCATAGCTGACTTTATCTAGGAATTTTCCAAATAATGAGCACCAATTTGTTCTTGTCAACACAAAATTTGCCCATGCAATTAATGAGGCTGTTACATGTGATCTACTAAGAATATCTGCACAATTAATAGCATAAGAAGCTCAGTGCCAATATGTCATGAAATTTTTTTTTTTTGTTTGTTCGTTTTTTTATTTTATTTTTTTTATTAGTAAATAAATCATAACAGCATCACTCACTGCGTGGGATTCACAGTTGGCAGCTTAACCGCACTTCCCTGTGTGGTTTACATAGGGATACCAGGTTATTCCACCACCTTGACCTTGAGCTGAATGCACTTTAATGGGATTTGAGTTGCACTTGTGGCTGTTCTTTTGTGATCAAGCTTCCAAAACAGTCCCCTTCATTCTCTCACTTGATCAAAGGTGGCAGACCCTGAATGACTTTGTTATGGAGTCCATTGGAGGCTATAGCGGATATAGAGAAAAAATAAAGGAAAAAAATCATTTTACGTTTGGAAATTGTAAGGGCCTGTATGGGAAATGAAAACAAATTATTTACCTTTTAAACTTGTGCAATAATCCTTTAAGTAACCTGATGTTTCGGATTTTTCTCAGAAAACCTCTAAAAGAGCCAACATTCAAAAAGAGTTTACCCGGTGGCTCCAAAACTGTCATGAAAAGTTTGACAAAGAGGTGAGATTTATTGGCTATAAAGAAACTGTGACGCGACCAGAATTGGAGACTCAGAAAAAGCAATATCCCTGGGCAGTGTTTTCCTCCATCGAACTTGATGGCAAAAGATATGATACAGGGAAAACTGTAAGTGCTTTTTGATTCCTTATACGACTATATGTATGTATGTCTGTATATGTGTGTATGTATTCCATGGAGGCCCAGTGCAAGGGAGATTGGCAGTCATGTTTAGCTTCTTCCATTTTGTAATAATTGCTCCAACATTGGACCTTTTTTTGTCCAAGCTTCTTGACAATTTCCCCGTAGCCCTTTCCAGGCTTGTGGAGGTGTACAATAACGCTCTAGTGTCTTTTGACAGCTCTTTGCTCTTGACAATGTTAGTAATTGGATACTTACTAAATGTATAGGTTGGACAGGTGACTTTAAGCAGCTAACGACCTCCAAGAGGTGCATGTAATTTAGGATAATAAATGGAGAGGAGGTGGACATTTTGAAGGATAAAGAAGAAGAATAACAGGTATTTAAGGGTCAGAATTCTAGCTGATAGACAGGTGTTCAAATACTTATTTGTAGCTGTATCATACAAATAAATATTTAAAAAATCATATGTTGTGATTCATCTGGTGTTGGTTCAGTAAGGTACACACAATTCCAAAAAAACAGCACAATGACTACCTGTGCCTCTTTATTTTGGCCTACTGACTGATTACGAGATTGTTGACACCCTTTGGTCTCGGTATTTTCAGTTATTTTAGGGGCACCATCATTTTTTGCCCAGGCCTGTTTCATATTTTTTTTTTTATAATTTTGTTAAAGCATGGCTATAGCAATGCCTGACTTACCTTTGTTCATTTTCCTAGAATTATTTGCTGTTATTACTATTTTAAGATACAAGTAATTCCTGTTACCATTGTGGGGTTTTCTTTCACTAAACAAGGGTTACCAAATTTTGTTCACTTGTGTAGTTCTTTTTCTTTTGTTTTGTTTTAATAGCCTTAACAGAAACAAGAAAGGTAGAGTACAATACACTTTATGACAGAAGTTAAGGTAAAACATTTTTAAATAAAACACATTATTTGGATGAAGATAAGAGTTCTTAACTGGACACAAGTAAAACTTTAAACTAGCCAGCTTATCCTATTTTTATAATAATCAAATGGTTTTGGTCTTTTTTAGGCATATAATATAATTATACACATTTAAAAACTTTTTAGACTTTATGCGATTCTATTTAAAACTGAATGGCTCGTTAAATATTCTTAGCACCCACTGCTGAAGAGATTTGTTAAAAAACCTAAAACATATCCTCAAACCTAAATTTAGCAGGGAATACATAATTATAGGAGCAATTGTTACAATTGACAAGTAATAGAAGTATATGAACTATAACAAAAAAAAATGGATAACTGATGCTCATTGTATTATTTTCTTTCTTTCAGCTAAAGTTTCAGAAGACACCACAAATTCTTTATGGGTCTGTGATAAATTTTCTCTTGTATGGAAATCATCAAGAAGACTTGTTTGCCACAGGTGGAGAAGTGAAGATCAAACGTGTAAGAAAATGATTTAGTATGTATGAAAAAACTGATTGAAGGACGTTTTTATTGTTGGCATTTTATTAAACTCCTGTAATTAAGCAAAGCAACACTGCTTAACTTTCGACCCAATTTTTAGCTTTACTTGTTTAATATGACATCTTTTTTTAGGTCAATATACAGCAGTTAATATACACGCAACGGTTGAAATAAGAAATGAGAATCATTTACTTTACCATTGAGTTACGACCCAGCGTTCATGGGGATGGACGTCTGTGTCTTTGGCAGGCGTAGAGCTAACAAGCTTTTATTCTACAAGAATAACATTACATAAAAAAATTTAAGTATTGTATGTCATTTTTTTTTGCCTATTCAAAAAAAATATTCTTAAAAATGTGATTTGTAGGAGCCTGAAGGACTCTATGATGAGATGACCAAGGTTATACCCATTACTAAAATTGACAGAACTGCCACTGATGAAAGCATCAAAAAACACATTGAGTCTGAAAGGAAGAAGTAAGGCAATATGTGGAGGAAATTTTACTTTTCAGAAATGTTTATTTATAGTATTTCGTTGTTGTGGAATTGTATAATATTTGTTTTATATCTTTATTTTTTTGCACCTATGTAGAATTCTTTTGCTGAAAGGGTACTCATTTTTATATAAATCGTTTGTTTCAGGCTACCAGAACACCTAAAAGTGGACTGGCCAGAGGGTAATCCTTTGCCTAAAAATGCTGTTTTGCTTGCTGGGACTCCTTTAGGTATATTGTTGCAGTGTCTGCATGCCGCTTATTAAAAATATTGAACACAAAATCTATTTTTGATTCTTTTCCTCATTAACAATACCTTTGTTTTAGGACCTCTCAAAGTTGAAATTCTAAATGGAGACAAAGCCCCAATCTCATCAAGAATACATACAGGGGGCAAGGGGCCAAGGATAAATCTGGGAGTTTTGCTTCAGGTGGAGTTCAATGGTAAAATGATCTTTATTTATAATAGAAAAAATATTGCATGCACTGTCTGGAGTTTTTTCTGTGGATTAATTTGAAGTTAAAAACCATTGACAATATTAAGCCTTTAAATTTCCCAGAAAGGCACTTGGTTTGGCAATTATTTTGGAGAACCTTGTGCTTGTTTGCCTATAATTCACTGAAATTATTTAATTTTTCTGACTTTTCCAAAAAGAATTAACCTTTTAACATTGAATTAACTCAAGTAATTTATTTGTTAATGGGCCCTTATTATGCTACATTGAAAACAATGAGACCCCCAGAGCATTTTATTTCTGTTTGTGCGGGGAAATTCCTCTCAAAGTAGCAGACAAGTAAACAACACTGCTATGATGTATATCCACTGTGATGAACTAGTTATGAGTTTATGGGTTTAAACCTTGCATAACCCTCCGGTTGAATCATTTAAACCACTGATACCCCAATTGTTGGACGAACTGCATCTCATAATACTGTAATATTTGTAGGCTTGATGTGCATAGCTCAAATTTTAGCTCTCACTAGCTTTTCCTGTCTTCTATCCTGTCACCTTTTGCTGTGTCAACAATAAGAACACTATTGGAAAGGAGTTCCAGACTGCCGCGCTTAATTTGGGCAGTCATCGGTCTTATGGACATCATAATGCAATCAACACACACTGCAAATCTACTGGTAGATACAAATAAAACACTACACACAATATCCACTGGGATCATCAGAAACCAACAATCCTCATCATACTGGGCTACATTACCCATCAGAAACAGTGTTCCAAAACAGGGTCAAACTCATAAACATTGCAAGTGTGGTTTTCGGGCCAGAAATAATTGATGTGGCTATTAAAGAATCTGATACAAAAGGGTTAGTAATGCTATTGATATTTAACCAGCTTTTGGTGTCATCCAAAACGATACAATGCATGAGAGTCTGTTAGGTGGTGAAGGGGTGGTTTGAAGAGGGTTTACAGCAGTTTGGAGAGGACAGTACAGCACAGTAAAGCTTGGATTAAAAATTGGTCCTCATTTTCCAAAACTAATATAATTGCTAATGCCATTGCATTGGGTACTCTGGCATTGCAACCATGTCCTGCCAAAAGATCAAATTTGTGTCTTGATAAAGATTGTTAAAGAATAAAGCATTGCCTAATCTACAATGTCCTGGTAGATTGCCTCATTGACATTGGATTAAAAAAACAACAAACAAAACCCTGGACCAACATCAACAGATTAAACGACTCCCTAAATTATCATGGATTGTTCAAAGGTCACACCGGACTTTAACTATCAAGAAGTCTGTTCCTCTCCATTTTCTGGGACTTTGGGACCTTTATTTCTTTGTCTTAGGTCTGCCTTCTTAGCCATAGCTGTGGAAACAGCATAATGGCTCTGAACTCAGGGTTTCTCATCTACTTATCACAAAGCTACACACTCTCTCAGGAAAAAATAAGCAAACCAAAGAGTGACATGAACACCTTACCACATTCACTGTATGTTTTCTGACTTGAAGACTTGGCATTAAAGGCTGGGTGGATGGAGATTTTACATTAGTAGTAGTAATACAGGTTCTTTATTTTTATCTGAATGGTTAATAGATGTGCGTGCTTGTTTGTGCTTTTACACAGATATATCCGAAAACATCAAGGTTTTTAGTATCACCGCCCCTTATTCAAAAAATGGATACTGGTTCACAAAAATTGGTAAGTTAATTTTTTTTATTTTATTTTATTTATGAGTACTCAAAACAGTAATTTGTTTATTTATTTATAAATTTTGTTCTCCAATATTGCTAATAAGAATAAGTGGTTTTCTGTGCAGAAAACTTGAGGAGCTTGGGGAAGTACACACTGACTCTAAATGCTGTGTTGAATGAAAATGGTGCTACGGTCTATGGTGGCAGAGAGCTGCCAAGCTATGTACATGTTTTTACAATCAAGGGTAAAGTAATTTTTTTGCTGCCAGTTGTGAAGTGGTCTGAATAATGTTTTTTTCTTTATTCTTCAGCGAGACATGTGTGTGTGTTTTTTTTTTTTTTTTTTTTGGCAGTTTAGAAGGAAATGCTGAGAGATTTACTGTGCGGTTAAGTTCCTCTCAGCGTGTAGGGGTGCCTTTTGACATTAATCTAAAGATGGAGGATTGTTATGGCCACCCCACAAAACCTCCTCCTCAACTCCAACCTGAACTTCAGTGCAGGTGGGACATTAATCAGTACTTAGTCTTTTTTTACAATCAAACTTTTCAATAATAAAAAAAAAAAAAAAACATGCTATATTGAATTTTTTTTCTCTTTTACTTTGCTTTTCACTTAATCCTTAAGTGATCTGAATCCAAGGTTTGAGACAACAGCTCGTAGTGAGAACATGATAACTATCAAAGGTGTCAAAGTCACAGGAAAACTGCCAGACTATCAACAAACCAAGGTAATTGCTTTGGCTACATTCACACAGGAGGGCTTTATGCTTAATAACATTTTTCTGAATTTAAATATTTTTCATGTGGGGGTTCATACTACTAACCTTGACTATCAGACTTCTGTCTGCATGGTTGAGGATACCAACGCAGCCAGCACATACACAGGAAAATGTAGGCTTCACACTGTTTATGAAAGTAGTAATGATGTAACTGTCATTACTGCTATTATTAAAATACAACTCCCAATGTTCTAGAGCTTACTCCCCCCCCCTACCTCACTTTGGGCCACATATAACATTTGAATAATACTGCAAGGAAGGCGTACCCTGGTGGACTGTGGAGTGTTTTCGAAGGCTGAAAGTTAGGTCCAGTCTCTGCTCTCATTTGACAGTCGCACACAGCAGCACAAACATGGCAAGCAGGGTCAAAATTACTTATTTTTACAGTAGTTTTGTTGGTCATGTGACTGAGTGACACAAAACTGGAAGAAAATTATCTAATTTATTGACAATCTTTCCAATATAGAAGTGGTTAAAATCTGATGTTTTTAGGTGAAAAGATCAGAATTGTGATAGTCAAACTGAAGTGAAAAAGTTTCTTATTAAACTTGCTACAATGAATTCACACCCAACACAGTTGGGATCAATGAAATGATAAGGGCAACAGAGAAAGTTGGGTCTAATGTAAGGACTGATCAAACACTTAGGGATGTGGCTGAATTGCAACTGTCACAAACATGATTTTTTCCCATTGCTTGTTTTTGTAATATTGTGTGGCTCTACCAAGACAATAACATCTGATGGATGAAGCTGTTTACCATCATTTGTATTTTTTTTTTTTTTTTTTTTTTTATATATATAGAATTTTGACCTTAAAGTGATACTGCCTGGGCTTAAGGATGATACAAAGACTGTCAAGCTTACCCTTTCCCCTGGTAAGACTGATTTTATTTGTGAAGATACAAGTTCTCAAGATTTTGAGTTTATGGTCTCCTAATGGCTTTGGAAATACTTAAGTTTTTTTTTTTTATTCTAATGATCCTGGATTATTTTCCAGTGTCTTTAAATGGAATATATCCAGTTGGCAAAAGGTCCAAGAAGCAAGACACATTTTTTTAAATTGCTCTAATCCTCATGAACTACAACCCCCTGCTTCCATTAGATTTTGTAATTGTCTAATTTACGTTCCAGTCCCAAAGTGACACTGGGCCTCTAATCTGTCAAAGAGGGAACACATTCTTCTTATAAATATTTACCTTTTCAGGGAATCCTCATTCACTTAATGTTGAATCAAACACTGACTCAGTGGAGAATGGAAACCCAGTCTGCTTTATGATTGAAGTCCATGATGAAGCTGGAAACATCACAGCTAAATCTAAGCAAGAAGTTCGCTGCCAGGTTTGGACATAGACTGTTGTTTACCTTTAAGGCTAGCGTAATCATATTTTTTTCTTTTTTTTTACCTTATAAGCTACATCATTCTAATAACTAAAAGCCAAACATCTAAAAATGAAGCAGCCCCTAAAACTTGCTCAAATCTTCAATAACATGCTAAGAAATTATATTTCCTATCTCCTATAGAATGTCTGGAAGGTAAATCATGCTAAACTGACGTGGTATACGTGAAAATATATTGTAGTCCATAAGCAAATTATTAATAAGCTTTCAAAAATACACCACTCTGAAATTTTTAAAAGGGAAACTGGAACAATTTCTAAGCTTTCCACAAAACAATTTATATCACTTAAAAAATCACATTACAGTTATTATTTTTCTATCTTATTTTATCTAAAATAAACACAAAAATTACGTAAAAAGTTGTTAGATATGAAAACACTTGTTCTATTTGCCATGCAATATATGTATGGAAAGGTCTGAATATGTTAAGGATATAAATAATTGGCAAATTTCTAAGAAGTTTATTTTTTATACCAGTATATTTATATAGCCTAAACCGTTATCCTGACCCTGATCTGACAATAATAAATATATTCTTAAATTGTTATTATTTAGATTTTTTTTTTCTCGGCTTTCAGATTCGGGGGTTGCCATCTGTGATAAAAGACTGCAGCACAGGAAAAGCTGAACTTGTCTCAGTTCCCATTAACCGAGAAATACTCAATGGAGAGCAACAAATACTCCAAGCTAAATTTGACATGCCTGTAAGTTAAGAAACACTGTCCTAGCTGTATACTTCAAGGTTTAAAATGTTCCCCTCCTCTCTCTGTTTGTGCAATTAGGGCCAGAAGCAGGTTAAAGCAATCACTAAGGAGCTGGTGGTCATGCCCAGCAATCGTATCTGTCGCATGGAGCTTTTCTGTAAGAGTAAGGAAATGCTGGTCTTAAGGAACAATGAAAATATTGATTGGCAAGCTGGAGGAGTGCTGGAGAACCTGTTTTATAAGCTGTATGATGAGGCTGCAAGAGAGGTCCCAATCACGGCTGAAATTGCCTCCAATATTAAGGTGTGTTTGATATGAAGGACTTCTGGCTTTTTTAAGGTTGAATTTATTGGATTTTTATCTCACTGTGTGTTTCTTATTCTATAAATGTCAATGTGACTTTGTTGTCTTTATTTAAGGTTACATGGAAAAGAGACATTGATCAGAGAGATTTGCTGATGGGAAAGCTACCAGATCTACATGTTAGCACTCATGTGCAGGAAAAGCACTACTACGAGGTCTCCTACCGGGACAAGAACGTATCCTCCTGCTTTAAAATTGTGTAAGCACAACTTAATGACGGTGACTTAGTTTTTTTTTTGTGTGTGTTCTTGACTGTACCGCAAATGAGCATATTGAGGGAAATGTCAGTTTTTGTTTGTACCAAGTATAATTTATGACTGAAATAAGCCATAAAGACAAGAAGTTACATATAAGTGAAAAAAGGCACTATCCAGGTATTATCATCAGTCTGCACTATTCTTGACTTGTTAATGCAGCATCATTTCTAGACCTCTAAATAAATGGTGATAATTGACACAAACAATACAAATAATACAAATAATCTATATGAAAAGGTGGAAACATTTCAAATGGCCAACTATTATCTTCTAAATAAGGAGCTCTGTAACCATATGCCCAAGCATGCGTGTATTAGGATAACAGATGTGTGATTCAATCTCAAATCATGGTCAAACGGTTTATTCTGCACACGGCATAAATTCAAAAAGTAAGAATTTTTTTAATACTAATATTTTAACTCTAAGTTAAACATGTTTCTGTAAAAAAATATATTTTCTAAGCTACTGAAACTCATTTAAATCAATAATTATAAACAACAAAATTATTTAATGATATCACAGTTCTGTAGCAATTTTATGTTTGAGAGTTAAAGTGTATTTAGAAAATTTTGGAAAGCAGTCAGATTAGCTTTTAAACTTATTTAAAGCAGCAGTAAGAAACAAAGCAGCTCATACTGCAAATATCAGGAGGTATAGATTCATTATTCAGCTTTGTTGCATTTAAGTACCCAAGTAAGAACCAAGTTGGTGAGTATAAGTTGCAATTCCAATAAATGCGACTGAGCAACTGCTGCATTTCTGTTAAATCACATAGTCATAGCCAGCTGCTGTAGTTCATGAATGATTTGGTGTAAAACAAATACTGAGTAATAGGGGGGGTATAATTACTTTTATTATAGAGCTGTTATTTTTATTAGTTGCTCTAAAAACGTACGTGAATACTGTGTACTTTTTAAATGTCTATTTTTGACTCTTGAAATTGTAATGTTAAAATCCACCTTTTCCACTTGAAAACCAACTTCCTTCTAAAAATTTACATCCTTGTTGTTCTTTTACAGACCTTGCCCAGATGAACCAGCACAACTAAAATCCACTCTGACTCAAAGCACATTAAAGCTTGGAGAAACCTTATCTGGACACATCAGTGAGCTTATTACTAAAAAAATAATGCAAAAATGTTAGCTTGTTTTATGTTAGCAGGGTAGGACATAAAGAAATTGTGTTAAAGTGACTAAATATGATTAAGTAAATACCAAAAGCGGATGCATTATTTTTTCAGTGCACCTGGCCAGTTAAAATATAGAGTTTTAGATTTACATCATATTGTGATTTATCTTAATCCTTTTACACAGAGTTGCAGCTTGTGGACAAGTATGATAATGTATGCAAGAAGCTCACCCCCATGTGTGCTCAGTTGTTTTCTGTGGAAGCTGAGGGTCTGGACAAATCAGAAATCAAATTCAAATGGAACGTAAGAACACAGATGTTTTAACTGAAAATCAATAGGAATTTATTTATTCTGTTAAAATGTACAATTTATTTCCAGGGAATGTCAAGCCTATTAAACTCCTCGTTGTATTTTTAGGAGCGCGGCAGCTCAATTGGGGTGATGGGAATTCGTTTCCTGTCAGTGTCTCCTGGTCCCAGAGTCATTTGCTTCAGTTACAAACACTTCACTAAACAGGTCATCCTCCAAGTAACACCAGGAATGCCTTTCCAACTTAAACTGGTCAGCGGTCCGGAACAGGTAAAAAAAAACAAAAAAGAGCAATAGTGGGAGATTTTTATAATTTATTCTTGTTCATTTTGAATAAACCTCATGGGGTACCAACGCAATGCTGGTTTAGTCTTAAGTGTATTAACCTAAGAAGGTTCAGAGTTCGATTCCCAGAGTCTTTCTGCATGGAGTCTGCATGTTCTCCCTGAGGTTTTCTCTGGGTACTCCGGCTTCCTCTCACAGTCCAATAACATGACTATTGATTATATATATATATATATATATATATATATATATATATATATATATATATATATATATATATGGGGTGGGTGCACTATACCATTTAATGAATTATTACTTATGTTCCAATTGATTACATCCTTAATACCTTTAACTTAATTGTTCAGAATTTAGTAGTTATTTTACTGCCACTCTCAACCATAAGTAGCATATGCAGTTTACTCATATGCGTAGCACAGACCGATTCTGTTTACATGCTTTATTCATTGTACGTGCAGTTTTTGTAAATCCCTCTCAACCCCCCGTCATTCACTGCAAAAAAAAATTTCTCACCACACAATTTAGACTCCTTATTTGGAATACGATCAGGCCCTATACAGATTGATGTAAATAGGTAGTTCCTATATGTTATGTTATAAAAATATATTAAATGACCTCCTTCCTTAAAAAAAGATTGAGGTAATGGTGTAGATATTTTGAAACAATAAGCTTTCTTCTTTTTTTACATGCTTGTTGAGTTATGTATGCTAACATCTGATATCACTACATCTTTTTGTGTTGGTCCTCCATTTGTCAGGGTTTGGTAGTGGTTTGGAGGACCCAAATGCAGAGGCAGAGAGGCTGAGGTGAATACTTGTAGATTTAATGATGAAAATGGTTAACAAAGGTAGGAATCCAAAAATCGAACTAAAAATGTAACAGACCAGAACCATGGAGACGTCAAGGGAAAACATGTACAAGGAGCCAGGGAGAGACGAGGTGAGACGACAACAGCGAAGACAGGACCAGCAACAACAAGGAACCAACAAAGAGTGAGAGCAGAGGGAGAACATAAATAGGTGACAGACACAAAGGGAGTGCTAACGAGCTGACAAGGAGCAGGTGTGAGAGGAGACAACGAGGGAGCCAAGGGGAAAGGAACACACACACAGGCAATAGAGGACAACAGAAAAAAATGAGAACTAACATAAATCTAGAAATTACAACAAAATAGGAATTAAACCAATAAAACTAGAAAACAAGGAGCAAAGTAAAGCACAACATAACCAAAACCATGACACCAATAAGCTGGTGTCTTTCTAGGATATACAAAGCTCTTCACTTAATTTCTGTGTAACCTCCTGATTTCCGATGGAACATTAACAACTTTTTTTGGTCTTATTTAGCCATTGCAGGTATTGAATTGTCAAGGTATTCCAACACCATTTACTGTCCAGCTATGTGATAAGTGGGGAAATCCTTCTCCGGACAAAAACTTAACTGTTGAGATGAAACCTTCACCCGAGACACTAAAGGTTGGTTTTAGAAAAGTAAACATGCCTAGCTGTCTGCAATTTTAAATTTTAAAATTTAGAAAAAGAGAATAATTCTGTTTTAACAATATTATGGATTATTGTTATTGTTTCAGCTGACACATGTTGAGTCACAACCCATGGACTCAGAAGGGAAAGTCTGCTTCACTATTAATAATCTGAAAGGTTCAAAGTAAGTCTCAAAAACGCATCATGTCCCAAGTTTGGTGCAGTTTTACAGAAACTGGGCATCCTATTTGAATTCTTTACTACTACATGCCATGGTTATGTTTTTTATATTTACTTTTATTGTCATTTTGCAATTCATTTTTTTCTCCATCAAGGGGTTGAGTTCTATCTATCAAAATCTTTGGATTTTTAAGATTAATGGCTCTCTAAATTATTGCAGTATTAGGACCTTAGAAAGTCGAGAAGACAAAACATGAGAAGTCATAAGTTCTTTTTTTATTGTAACATATGTAATGATAAACTCATACAATAAGCTTCATATCACTCATTAGATGTCCTATAACTTTGTTATGTGTGAAGGAAAAGTAACGCTGCCTATGATGCCAAACACAAACACTATTAACCGTGTTGGCAGCCTGATGCTGTAGGGATTTCTTTAACAGGGACAGGGAAGTTGTTAAAGGCACCAAATTTATATAACTAATTAGTCACACTGACCATTCAAAGGACTTCAGACTATTAACACATTCATCCAACATCACTCACTAATGCTCTCATATTCAAACACTAATATGCAGATCAGAAAGTGAAAAGGCTGTCAATGGTAGGACCAGCATGCATCTGGGTCGGCATATGTTTTTTTTTTTACCAGCACAAGAGAAGCATGGAGGAAATGTTTCTGTTTTTCTGTTTGCTTGCCTGAGGAGAATTAAACCAAGAAAACCTGGAATTTTTTTTCTTTTGCTTGCATAAATTACTTGACCATGGTGCATCTGAGGCCTTTGGGAATCTTTTTGTGTCGTCAAAGCTTGGCCACAATATCTGTCTATAAATCCAGATGAAGCTAACCCATTACATAGACTACAGGTATGTCTTGAAACAGAAGTTATAGTCTTTGGACCAGAGTCTCTAAAAAAGAAGCTGATTAGTCAATCACTTCATTTGGATGGGATTGAATTGACCTGTTATTTAAATCCCATATCAAAGAGGTTTCTAGAATTTCCTTCTTTCATCTGCAGAATATTGCAAAAAATTTGAAATGTCCTGTCCAGGTGTGATGCTGAGAAACTAGTTAATGCATTTGTTACTGCACTATTATAATTCTTTACTATCAGGAAGTCCACAAACTGTAGTTAAAAGCCTTCTGCTGATCCAAAATGCTGCAGCCAGAGTTTTGATGAAAATTAAAAATAGAGATCATATCTCTCCTATCATAGCTTCTCTTCATTGGATTCCTGTTAAATCCAAAATAGAATTTAAAATCCCCCTCCTCTCATATAAAGCCTTAAATGGCATAGCCCCATCTTATATCAGAGATCTGATTGTTCCTTATGCTCCTAAAAGAGCACTTTGCTCTCAATCTGCAGGTTTACTAGTGGTTCCTAGAATTTCTATAAGTAGAAATGGAAGCAGATCTTTTAGTTATCCGGCTCCTCTCTTATGGAACCAACTACCAGTTTTAGTCTGGGAGGCAAACACCCTTTCTACTTTTAAGGGTAGGCTTAAAGCCCAGAGCCCAGAAAACCTTCTAAAAAGGTTAAAGGTGAACTTGAAGCTCAAGGAGACTCAGTGTCAGATTGAGCCATCCATTGTTGTTTAGGTCAAAGTGGCTTAATAGGAGACGATCAAGGAGGACACTCTTGTTGAAACCAAATCATAATACTGGAATTTGCCAGACTACATGGGGACAAGCCACAAAGCATCTTAGAGAATGTCCCATAGAGAGATGAGATATATAAAAAAATAACTTTTTGCTAAGACTCATCAGCTTATTTCGCACAGGCTAAAAAAAGGAAACCTATCGATAAAAGGATACTGTCCCTACTGTGAAACACGGAGGAGGCTCTGTTGTGCTCTGGGGGTCAGGGCATGTATATGATATGCTGTGTTATTGTAGCATAGATAACCCCCTCCTCCATACCACCTAATTTTAATGTCCGGCTTTCACATCCTCTGTTCTTAATCTGTTTTATAGATATTCTGACTGACGGAACAACTATGTTTTTCCATTTCAACATTTTCCAGAGACTACCACAAATGTCAGCTAGCCCAGAGATTTTAATTTAGACAGATTTGCTATTCATTACAGGTAAGACTTCTTTCTTTACTCCTTTCCTTCTCTAGAGGGTCCTACATACTGAAGTTTAAGGGTTCCTTAAATGGCAAATCCATCCCTGGTCCATCAGTGGATCTCATTCTACTCCCTGATCCCAACAAACCTGTGAACCTGTCAGTGAAATACGATAAACATGCCAGATTCCCTGCTGGAGGCACATTTCCAGGTTTTTATTTCTTGATAAAATCTTAGTAGCCTCTTTTCTTAACAGTTTGGTAAATTAATTTTAGCTGTATGTGATCTGCAGATTTTTCAGTGACTGTGCTCTCTGAAGAGGGGAGTCAGATGAAGACATTTAAACCTGAAGATCTATCTATGTCCCTGTGGGAGAAAGGGTCGGCAACACAACCTGAAACAGTAAGTGATCAAATATCATCATGAGTCTCTCCTCATTGTAAGTAAGATATGTTCAATGATACACTTAACATCCCTTTTTCAGGACATTATGCCAAAATGCGGAAAACCTATTAAGGATGAGGAGAATCACTGTTATCGATTTAGGTGATTTAATTTTAAATAATCTCTATTTTGCATTCAGTTATTTTTATTCAAAAAGTATTTTATTAATGTCACCATTATAAATATTGTACTTTAAGGTTTTTTTTCAACATTGGCTTTTTGCTAAATGTTTAGAGGAATAGAAAATTAGGATAGCTGAGATTTTAGGGCTTTCGTTTTTATCTGCTCGATTTAACAGCTGATGCTCCTATTTCTATACAGTACAGATAAAGCAAGGGCAGGGACTAAATAAAGGCACTTATTCATAATCAAGCAACCTAAATAGTGAGCTAAAGGAATGTTAACTTTTACTTGACTAAAACAGACATCAAATGGCTTTTCCTAGACAGTTTTTTAACATGTGTGAAACTTGTGTGTGCTTTACTGCAGAGGAGAAGCAATCCCAAAACATGCAGGGGAGTATACTGTAGAGTTTGCTCTACAAAGCAACAAAACAGAGGATCAGCTTAGGACTCGGGTAAGTTTGCACACATTAATAAAGCACAGTTCGGCGTTGAGTATGCATGCATTAAAAATGTGAAATAATAATACCCATAGCGGCAAGCAGCTCTTGTAGCTTAAGGTAATTGAATGTCTCTGCCTCCAGGCCTCAGGATAGCCAGCAGATTATATAATTAATTGACATACATCTGTTCTTCTGTCTGTCTACATATGTGTCAGTAATTTGGTAGAAAACTTTACACTTCACTTTAAACAATTATTCTTTATATGCAAGTTCTGAGTAGTCAGTTCAATGGTCAGAACAAGGTGCAGGTAATCAACAGCTTTTGCCTTGCCAGTAATGAGATACCCTTCTGGGATAAACAGATGGCCCAAGGAGAAGATTCAAGCCACTGATGTTAAAACACGGAATCTATTCTCCATGCATGGTGGATTCCACCACAAATCCAGCATGCACAGATTATACACTAAGCACAAAGAAGGAGGTAGAGGCCCAGTGAGCATCAGGACGCCAATAAAGATGAAACATCCAAGCTCCATGAATACATCAGGGATAATCCAACGGATGAGGCGATTAGTAAATGTCTCAGACAGTGGGAGCTGGAAATGAAGGAACTGTAGGAACTATCAAGGGAGGAAAAAAATCCCTGCATGGGATGTACCAACTTACGGATGGCTGAAGTGGCAGGTATGGCAAATCCTCCAATGGCCAGAGAGAGCAGGGCTAAAGCACAGCACTGAAGCACTGCTCATGGTGATATAGTCATTGCCCTCTGACAATGAGCTGATCAACCATGGTGCACTTAAATACTCCACAAGGTCTTAGTGGCTTAAAAGGCTAAGTTCTCATGTATTGTTTCCAGTAAGATGTTTTAAAACTTTGTTTTAGGTATTGTGGAAATTTGGTTCAAAGCTTTTGCTGATCTTTTGATTTTTCTCCCTCTCATAGATCAATATAAAGGTGGTGGCTAATGAACCAATCAAACTGGAACCCGAATGCCAGCTAGAAACCCCAGTTGTTTTCCACTGTATAGACATCAGCAATCGAATATTGGTTGAAAATGTGACGCTAAAGATTATGGTGAGCTCCAGTCCTTTCAAGGCATCAGATTTACTCTTAACACATGTCAGCAAACAAACTCTGAATATCTCACCCAATAGGAAAAATCTGTATTTGTTGTTGTAATTGACAGCTTTAGGTTTGTTGAATTCTTTGCAGGATCAGCATGGTAATCCAGCTGGGCAGGACTTGAACGGTAAGGTGTTAATCTCAATGAAGTGTCCTGACGGAGAAATACCCAGAAGTCTCCCCTTGTTTAAAGACAAAAACAGCCACGTCCAAATTAGCTTAAAAGAAGGAACTGTCAATATTGATGTGAGTAGCACTCTTTCTGCAGCATAAACAACTTTTATGTTTGTCATCATAGAGAACTTCCTTTCACCTCACCTTTAGAGTTTAGCAATTTCAGAGAACAGTCCTGGTGAGAACGGAAGAAGATATATTCTCCTCTTCAGGCCTGAGGTGACGATGCCGCCCACATCTCTCAGTCCTTTTGAGCTGCCCTTCTATTTTTACAATGGTACACTTTACAAACTACATTTAATAACAAGCACAAAGCTTCTTTACAGATGTAGAATAAAGAAAAAATTGAAAGATAAAAAACTTATATCTCATGCAATATTAGTTTGAGAATAACATAAATGGATCTTGTTATTTAAACATCAAACAGATATTGCATTAAATACAATCTCATCGCTTGAGGTTTTTACTGTCAAAATATAACAATTTAAAATGTAAAAGTTCTACAAGGGTATTTTAAAGATCCCTGGATGGGAGTCATTCTTGTACTGTAAATGAAAGGTCAAGTGTTCTGAATGCTATATGTCAGATAACAAAATAAATTATAAGCAGCTACTTTGCATCTTATACAACAAAAGAGTAAAAATTTTAAGTCTATTAGGAACCTTATGATTATTTAATCATTATGTTTTGTGCAACTCATGTAGTTGTGGTAAAACTTAATTTAAAAAAAGCAGTTACCAAAAAGTAATAAAAAAAGTAATTATTTAGGCCAATTACTTGTAGGAGTAGCTGTACTTTTTATGTTTACTAGAGTAATATTCTTGTTTAGTATTACTACGCTAATTTAGCTAAACCTTTTGGTTTAATGTAGAATGCTGCCACTTGAATTTGTGAGTTGTAGGTTTCAGCTTTACACACAAAGCCATCACCTTTTAAAGATTTAAAGCAAATAATTAGCAGAATTCAAATGTAGACCTATTTTGCGAACCTAAAAGTCTAGTAAAACCTGAATGAGCAATCATTCTATAAAAATAAAAATTATGTTTGATATAAATTCCTGATATTCACGACTTTTGTCTTTCTCTTGACATTTAAGATGCTGAGAACCAGCAAAAAAGATGTGAACTGATGAGGAGAAAGGATCGGATGAGTGAAGCTATTAAAGAAACCAAGAAATCATTAAATTTAATTCGTGAAAAAAAGGCTTCCCTTGAAAGTAAGATATTTTTTTATATTAACGCTATATGTAACTGTTTCCCTTAAGGGCTGTATGCTTTCCACAAGGTTTCACTAAAATGTCTTTTATGAATGGGTATGTTTATTCATAGTTGAGATAGACTGGCCCTTCTTAAGATACCAGCATTTCTTCTGTTTTTTGATATGATTTCTACTCCCTTTTTCTGTTCATCCTGTAGCTTAAAATTGTATTTTTACTCTAGATGAGGTCAAAGACACAACAGAGAAAGAGATTTCTTTCAGAAATGAGCTGAAACACAAAGGCCTAAAAATAGAACACCAGTTATCAGTAAGTCCTTGTCTTTTTCAAAATTTTGTGTTCAATTGAATTCTCATGTATTTTTTCTTAGGACATGTATGTTATCTTTTTTCAGATTAAAGAAATTGCAGAACATCTAAAACAGAAGAACTTAGAGGTTGAAAAAATAGAGAAAAGTATCAGAGTTTGTTCCATTCCTAACCAATTCAGTGGGCCGGATATTCTTGGAATGGTGATTAGGGAGATTTAAAAGCAGTATTCCTTTTGAGGTCTGTGTCTATATGCGTTGTCTTGCTGGCTGCAGGTTGGCCACTTGGCTTTTGTTGCTGATGATGATGCTGCAAGGGTTATCTCCTGGCACCTGCAGGGAGACATGGACTGCGTCATCACCACCACAACACAAGCAGCTCAGAAACTCCACCAAAAAACAATGGGCAACCAGCAGGTCATGCCTCTCGACAGCATTCTTTTGCACCAAGGAAGCCGGTAAAACAATATTTAGTAAAAATACGCGTAGACTGAATCTTATTTAGAATGCATTGTTAAATAAATGTTTCCACTTTGATGGCTCTAGACTCAAATTTAGTGTTCATGTACAGTTTTAAACTATTTTAGTTTAGTACATACATTTACATTAGGGTTGGGGTTAAATTTAAGCATCACACTAATGTATGTGCTGTAGAATTCACCTCGCTGAAAGAAAAGCAGCCAGAGTTGGTGTTTGTGGTCATGTACTGGTTTCTAGTTGTACTTTGACCCTCATCCGCACACAGCTTTGGTTCTTAAACCCAACTCCCTGAGAAGGGATAGGATCTTTCTAGGTAGACTAGCTGTCAGTGTGGATATAAAAACAGACCTTTGGCTAAGTGCCCTTGTATTATATTTTTTCTGCAATAAGCCTTTTTTCCAGCTTCTGGTTGCCATAGGAAAAGCTCTGGTTGATGTCTGTGTTTATGCTCTGACCAGGGGTTCAGGTTGCGTTAGAGCACCATGGCAGTATCATGCTGTGTGCATATTTTTTTTCAGGTAGCACAGGACAGCTAGCCAGAGTTTATGGAAAGATTGATGGATCTAAATGAAAGATAATTCTAGAAAACAATCCTGTCAGACTGGATAGTTTACCGTCCAGCAGAAATACAGCTAGAGGAGCATAACAGATTTAGAGCTGTGCTACAAAAGTGTAGATCTAATTTTTTTTTTTTTTAGAATAATGCGATCTGAGTGGAAATCTACCTCTAATTTGAAATCTATGGCAAGAGCATAAAACTGAATGGTTTATAAAAATTATGATCACATTATTATCATTATTGTTATTATAATTATTGCTGTTATTAATGTTGCTATTAAAACTGTTATGCTATCAAAAATTAGATACAAGGCATCAAAAGTTAGAATAACTTGTATTACAGCTTCTTTACCAGAAGAGGGAGACAAATCGTGAAAAAATATTTAAAGAATAAACAGTAGCAACTCTTTTTTTTTCTCTTATGTAATACTCGGATAAAGTCTGTGTTTTTCTGCAAATATTTTACCTTTACAGCAATATGTATAAAACGTGACAAAAGTAATATTTTTGACCATTTTGAAGAACAGACACATCTGGATTAGAATCATTAAGATGGAAAACATAAGTGCTTTACCATCAGATGTAGTGAGTTAAAATCAAATATTTTAATTTAACTGCATCATTAAGGGGCTGCTCAGGGGAGCAGTGGGTAGCACACATGTTTACTGTAAATTGCGTTCCTAGGGTTTCTTAGAGAAAAAATAAATGAATGAATGACTTTATTTCAAGGGGCTGCACAGTGGAATTGCTGCATTGGAGCAAGAAGGTTCTGGGTTCAATTCCCGGTCCGGGGTCTTTCTGCATGGAATTTGCATGTTCTCCCTGTACATACATGGGTTCTCTCTGGGTACTCTGGCTTCCTCCAACAGTCCAAAAACATGACTGTTAGTTTAATTGGCTTCTCCAAATTCTCCATAGGTGTGAGTGAGTTCATGAATGGTTGTTTATCCTGTGTGACTCTGTTTTGCCCTGCGATGGACTGGCGACCTGTCCAGGGTGTATCCCGCCTCTCACCCATTCAAAGGTGTGACATAAAGCAAGACAGAAAATGAATGGAATAAAATATACTATCACAAGATATAATCACCTTAATATAATGAGAACAAATGGCATTTTCTTATTAGTGACAAACTTTGGAAACAATAAAACAAAACATTGGTCATTTTATAATTTTTAAACACATGTAAATTACCAATAAATAATTGATAAGTGATATTTTTTTTCCTGGGTTTTTTTTAATAGGAATGTTGCTGTGTTTTTGCCTACTTTGCCTACTATTTATGGGCTACAAGCTTTGATCACCTCACTAAACATTAAATCTGCATCAAATTTAAGACATTTTTTTTTCAGAAATTAAAAAAAATATATGTTCATGTGCATTCTTCTGCAAAGCTGAGAGTGAGAATCCATTATGGAAATATGTTAATTTGACATTCCCTTTTCAGTAAAGGTTTTGAATATCTTGCAGACCCCTGCCACACATAAAACATGGCAGAGAACTTTTTAAACCTACTGGGAACCCAGTCTTTGCCAAGGACCTGCTGATTTATCCCCACAAAGAGAGTTGTGATCCAGATAAACTGACAAAAGGTGACAAGCTTTTTCTCCGCTACATGTTATTTGGTTGTTTACCACTTTAGATTTATTATTTAAGTCTAGAGATTACTTTGATTTCCAGACAAATTTGAAGTCCTTTTTAAGGGTTCTTGTATCTTAAACAGAAATTAGGCATCTTTTAATTAAGTAAAAAGTTGTTGAATATGATTTATTTAGGTTTATGTTTACTTTACTTTGGAGGATAAACTCTAATAAGGTATTATCCAGTCTCTGAATGCATCCCTGTTGTTGCCTTACCAGTGTTTAAAAACCTCCTCGGCGACACGATCCTGATGGACGACTTTAACTCAGCCACTAACTACAGGAAAGAGGTGAGAGATTTTTACTCACAAAGTTGTGTCATCCTAACCGGAAGGACTTATTTATTCTCTAAATGTGTTACTGTTCGCAGGTTGTGGAGAAGGGGATATTTTGTCCTACCATATTGACCCGAAAGGGAGACAGGGTCAGTGGCAGGGGCAAATTCGGAGGGAAAAACAACAGAGCACCATCAATTGACCAGTTAAAAGTGTTTGGAGCTCCTCTACCACCACACTACTACACACTGAAAGATCAAATAGGTGACAGCTCATCCTAAAACTTTCTTTATTTGCCTATTATCCTGAAATATTTGTGAAAGCCTGGTATTTTATTTTAGGGCTGAAACAATTGGATTTAATCATAATTAATCGATTATAAAAAACATTGTCAACTAATTTCGTAATCCATTAATTGTTAACTGGAGTGTAGAGACTCTTAATCGGGCCTTTAACTGACAGAGCAGCCCACTTTGAGCAGCAAATACAAAGATTGTAAATAGAAATGTAAACATTTTGCATTTAAAAGAAAACAAATCATTTTTGTCTGTCAATATGCTCCATCCAAAACTCATTTGGAAAAGTTTCAGTTTCACCTGGTTTAATTTCATAAAAATTATTCTTTAAGGAACCTTTGGCTATCCGATTATTAATCGAAAAAAGAATATTGACAGATTAATCAGTTGCAAAATAATTGCTACTTGCAGCACTTTTTACTTTCACCATTAAAAAGACATTTTGTAAAAATATCTGTAAAATAACCTTTTTTTATCTGACCTTTTACAACTAAAACATCATTTGATGAACAAACTGACACCTCAGATGTTCCACGCCGATACATCTTTAAGCCTATAGCCTATTTTTCTTGGATGTACTTCAGGAGGATGTTCAGCAGATGTGATGTCAAGCCCGTCATTGTGAAACGGGTCAAACCAATTGAAGTGTTAAATTCAAGATGGATTATGTGGATATTCAGAAGTGACTGGGATCCAGCTCAACTCAGATACCAATAGCAACTCAACATAACGTGAAAAAGTAGAAAGAAAAAACCAACCTGAAGAGGCAGCTGCAAGAATGACCCAAAGAGTGCTGCAGTTCTGTTTTTCTGCCACAAGTGGCAGTATAATTAGAAAACTCAATCATGCTGATGACACAATCTGTTGATGAAAAAGGTTGCAGAGCTTTATTTCCTAGGAGCAGTAGCTACCAAGTGCTGCTGGTAGAATGCATTTGATCCATGATCATTAGAAAGTGTTAATTATTTGAAGGTTTGCTGTGAAAAAACTCTGTTATCTGAAAAATACCACAATACGGCATAGCAACAAATCAGAATGAACTAAAAACTTTCTGGAATATTGTAATTTGTTCAACTTAGGTAAATATGGTTTGCCCTAAGGATCAGTTCAAAGTTGAAAAAAAAAGTGAACTCATTCTCAACAATTAGGATTGATAATTTCATAATCAGGAACAGTATAGTGGCTTATCAGGAATAAACTAACAGACCAAAGATTTAGAATGTTTCAGTTGTCCAATTACTATCCAGTCCTAAGATGATTAAATAGGAAATAGATTTATATATCCATGATAAATCTGTCTGTATGTGTCTGTAAACATTCATGTTTTAAAATATAAATTTATTTCAGATGCGCTTCGTGAGTACCAAGCACTAGTGGAGAAAAAAGAAGAAGCAGAAAAGGAGCTTAATGACCACAAGTTAACAACTTTCGATGAAATGCTCCAAAAAGACACGGAGAGAGAGAAAATCGATAAGGAGCTAGAAGAGATTGAAAAAGAACTTGGTATGCTTTTCACCTTTAGTGATTTGATTTATTTCAAGTTCTGTGTAACACACACAACATTTTCTTTTTGATTTGTAGAATCTGTATCATTGAGACCAGGGAAACGAGCTTCTGGAAGCTTGGAGTCGCCTGTGATCCTTTCAAAGCGCCCCAGAGAGAAATCTATGGACAGTCCAGAAAGATTTTAGCTGAACTCGGGCTATGGCATCTTTATGTCTTTATGTTACTGTTACATTTGATAAACTGTTACTTAATTTTTTTGCTTATTTTTGGACTTCAAATTGTGAGCATGATGCTTTTTGATGTTTTATTTTTTTGTGTATCATTGTGTGCAACACTTTGGCAAACTGCATTTGCTCAATATAAATATTTAATCTGATTTGATCTCTCACAGCACGCATTCAAGTACTTTCTTTGTCTTTGCTTCATATTCCTCCTTTATGCAAACTTTTCTTTAGTGTTCCTTTTGTTATTCTTGAAATACCAAGAACTGAGAGCCATTTACAGGTCCTCATAATATTAGCATGTTGTCATAAAGTTAATTATTTTCCATAATGTAATGATAAATCTTGAACATTCATATATTTTAGATTAATTGCACACTAACTGAAATCTTTCAGGTCTTTTATTGTCTTAATACAGATGATTTTGGCATACAGCTCATGAAAACCCAATATTCCTATCTCCCAAAATTATCATTTCATGAAAGAGGTCTGTAAATGAGCTATGCACCTAACTATCTAAATCAACAGATGAACTCCAAACACCTGCGAAAGATTCATGAGGCCTTTAAAACTCCCAGCCTTGTTCATCTCTCAAGACCCCAATCATGGGTAGGACTGCCGACCTGACTGCTGTCCAGAAGGCCATCATTTACACCCTCAAGCAAGAGGGTATGACACAGAAAGATATTTCTGAATGAATAGGCTGTTCCCAGAGTGCTGTATCAAGGCACCTCAGTGGGAAGTCTGTGGGAAGGAAAAAGTGTGGCAGAAAACGCTGGACAACGAGAAGAGGTGACCGGACCCTGAGGAAGATTGTGGAGAAGGGCCGATTCAGACCTTGGGGGACCTGCGGAAGCAGATGACTGAGGCTGGAGTAGAAACATCCACAGCCACCGTCCACAGGCATGTGCAGGAAATGGGCTACAGGTGCCGCATTCCCCAGGTCAGGCCACTTTTGAACCAGAAACAGCAGCAGAGGCACCTGACCTGTGCTGTGTGTTGGTCCACTATGTTTTATCAAGGACAGGGTCAATGCAGCTATCAGGAGAGTTTGGAGCACTTCATGCTTCCATCTGCTGAAAAGCTTTATGGAGATGAAGATTTCATTTTTCAGCACGACCTGGCACCTGCTCACAGTGCCAAAACCACTGGTAAATGGTTTACTGACCATGGTATCACTGTGCTCAATTGGCCTGCCAACTCTCCTGACCTGAAACTGAAACTGAATCTGTGGCATATTGTGAAGAGAAAGTTGAGAGACGCAAGACCCAAGACTCTGGATGAGCTAAAGGCCACTATCTAAGCATCCTGGGCCTCCATAACACCTCAGCAGTGCCACAGGCTGATTGCCTCCATGCCACGTCGCATTGAAGCAGTCATTTCTGCAAAAGGATTCCCGACCAAGTATTTAGTGCATAACTGTACATAATCATTTGAAGGTTGACTTTTTTTGTATTAAGAACTATTTTCTTTTATTGTGGGGATGAAATATGCTAATTTTGTGAGATAGGAGTTTTCATGAGCTGTATGCCAAAATCATCAGTATTAGGACAATAAGGACCTGAAATATTTTAGTTAGTGTCCAATGAATCTAAAATATATGAATGTTCAAGTTTTATCTTTACATCATGGAAAATAATGAACTTTATCATAATATGCTGATATTTTGAGAAGGACCTGTATATTGTGTATAACTTCTCAAATAAATGCAACAAAAATGGCAATTGACCAGACACAACATTGTTTAATAAGTTTGAAGTCTTTTTAGTTTTAAAACCCAAAAACCTATTTCCCAAAATACATAGAAGATTATTATTATGAAACCTTTCTGTCTGTCCATCCATCTATCCATCCATCCATATGGTGGTCCACATATATATATATATATATATATATATATATATATATATATTATGGATGGATGCATGGAAGGACAGACATTAACACATAAATATGATTGACAAATAATTGCTATTTTTAAGAAAATACAAAATGGGCATACTGGTGTTTTCATAACATGTGAATTTGGCTTTAAATTGGTTGGTTAGGCAGAGAAAGTGGGTCTTCCACAGTGGAAAAAAAGGGCGCATCTTGTGAGTACTGGAGCGTGTCCTGAGACGTCATATCCAAAATGCTGAAAGGAAGGAGGATGCTTGGATGTGCGCAACCCAGAGAAGAAACAGCCCTTAGAGCTCTAACCATTCTCCGGGCAACTTGCTGACTTTTGGTTATATTCTGAGGAGGTTCTGCTGGGTAGTCTTTTATTCTAACCATGAAGCGCGATCTGTATCTCATAAACTTTCTGATAACTTTCCCTCTCGTCAGTGGATCACCTTTTCAGTACAATATGTTTCAGGGAAACGCGTATTCTGCCCCAGAAACACGACAGAGAAACAAGTGAGTAGTTGCACGTATCTTTTTTATGTTTTTTTTTTTTTTCTTCATTTACATGAGCGCGAATAACAGATTGGAGATGTGCATCTGTTTGTGCAGAAACTGGTGCGCCTACGTTGTGCATAAGAATGTGAGCTGCGCTGTAGTTGGAGGCACGGAGAGCTTTGCGCAGCCCGAGTTGTTGCCATGTCCACCGGAGCAGCCAAACTGTGCGCAACAAGTGATGTAAGTTCCCAGAAATCACGTTAAAAAAATGAAGTTTTTTTTTCTTTTGCTATTTAGTGAGATTGTTATCAGCTGAAACTGTCTACAGAATATCTGTTTTATATCTATACTGACAAGATGTTTCCTGGCTTTCCCTGAGTCTCTTTTTTTTTGTAATATCGACTTTTTCTGGTCTGTTTTAACATATTTTAAGCCTCTTGAGTCTGAAATTGACAAGTAGCCTAACTTTTTTCTATTTGACCAGTCTTTGTTTAAACTGAATCTTTAAGGATGTTTTTACCAGCAGCCTGAAACAAAGACATAATGATGGAAACACCGACCATAATAGCGTTTAACTCTATCAAATGGCTGTTTGGCAGCACAGTAAAAACAAAAAGGGAGAGGGTTTAAAACGTGTGCAAGATTGGCTTCCATGCATTTTGTTTTATTGTGTACTTCCTCAGAGAACCTCCCTTCCCCCGGGTTATGAATGCTTTAGCTCTTAGTTTTAAGGACTCTAATTCATTTAATTGTACAAATATTTTGCAGTTATAGTCAAAGTCACTGACGTTTATAATGTCCTATATTTGCATACGATTTTAAGTCTACTCAAAAATATTGTATTCCTACTAATCCTCATGTCTTGCAGCAAATGCTTAATTGGGGCTAGGTGTTAACTTTGATTGGGCCATTGTAAAACATGAACATGCTTTGACCTGAGCAGGTATGTCAAACTGCATTCCTTGAGGGCCAATGTCCTGCAGGTTTTGGATTCGTCCCATGTCCAGCACACCTGAATTATATGACTAAATGACCTTCTCATGCACTCAATTTCGACAGAGCCCTGCTAACAACATAATTACGTGATTTAGATTTCTTGAGGCAAAGCTATCTTTAAACGTAAACTATGGGGCGTTATGTTTATGGTCTTTGCCATGCAGGAAGGTAAGCCTCTGCCTCAGTCTCTCATTATCTTTTTATCCACTAACATTTAGCGCCATCAACCAATCCCTTGGTCTCTGACCATCTTCCATGCCCCACTGAAGAAAGAAAATATTGACGGCATAATACTACCACCACCATGTTTTTTAGTTGTGTCATTTTTTTAATTAGATGACTTCTGAAAGCAGGTAGTTTTTTTTGATGTTTGGGATTATCCGACTAAACTATATTAAATGTTGCGATCCTAAAATACATGAGGATAAGAATGATAATCAATAACTGATATGCTTTATATCAGAAAATAACAGATTTGCTGTAGAGTATTTAGAGTGAATCTCCTAATTTTAATTTATCTTTTAATCTATTGTTGTTTTTTTTTGTAGATATCAAACACATTTTAGACCAACATACAAAATTGGCTACAAAATAATGACAGAGCTGCAGTGGAGGTGTTGCCCAGGATATCAGGGTCACGACTGCATGGAGGTGAAAGACATGAAACTTCTCCAAGTAGAGCGTTTGCCCCATGCCTCCTCAAATTCTGGCTATTCAAATCCACAAGGTCAGTGGCTAATGGTATCTAAAATATTTGAAATGCTTAAGGACATTTAGGTCAAAGGATACTCATTGTTTCAATGTTTTGTAGCTCCCAATCGGAGGACTGAGCCTCAGAGAAACCATCAATCAGCTTGGGAGGGGCAGATCAGAGGTCAAACAGTTGACAGGCCACGAGAGGGCCAAAGCAGACCTCAAAGCTCGCAACAACTAGAGGAGGAGGTGCAGCAGTTGTCTCAGATGGTCCTTGACATGCAGGCAAGAATGACAGACATTGCCTCCAATCTGAGACTGGATTTCCAGGAGGATGCAAGTAAAATGTTTGTTACTCTTATGAATAATCTTAAACAACCTGCCAGCGCTAGGGGTGCAGCGACAGAAAGCTTTCAGGTGCAGGACTTCTCTTTTGGTCAAGAGATGCCATCGATGGATGAGGTCATGAACAAGATAAACCAGGTTGCAGATGATCTTGAGTCGAGGAGTAATGTCTTGGATGACTTAATGAGTCGAGTAAATCTCCATGATGGACAAATAGGTCTGTTACTGGAGACGGGTCAGAATCAGCCATCCACGTCCCAACCTACAACGTCCAGCAGTGATGCTAACCTGCAAACCTTCTTGGAAAGTAAGATCAGTGCTCTACGAGAAGAGTTGATGGAAGGTATAGAAATCAAAATGGCCGATTTGAAGAACTCCTGTGACTATAAAATCCACTCAGTTCAGGAACAGTGTGAAGGACAGGAGGCCAACTACTTCAGCTTGATCGAACTCATGGACTCAAAGGAATTAGACGTCCGCAGTGAGATCCAGAATCTGAAGACAAAAGTGGATGAACTACAGAAGGCAGGACCAGTAGATTCTCACCTGCAAAACCTTGAAAACCAGCTGAACTCATCTCAAAGCTATTTGGAGATGTGCCTCTCTGTGGAGAAAAATCTTCGGCACGAACAAGAAGAAGCCATTAACGACTTGAAGAAGACGTTGGACGACAAGCTGGGATCTATACAGAACCAACTCACGAATAAGCTGACAAATAACTCTAAATTCACCTTAATGAGTGAAAATAGTCTGCTAATAGATGCTAGCTCTGTAAAGGATTCAGTTGATAAGCTGGAGCATAAAGTCAATGATCTGGAACTTCTGTGCTCTGAAAACTGTAAAGCTAATTTAACTGCTTTAGAAAAGCTTCAGAATGACTTCCAGAGCTATAAATCTATTGTAGATAACATGGAAACAAATCTGAACATTCAGGTAAGAGACTTTGAATCCATGAAGGGTCAGCTTTTATGCATCAACAGCACTATTGAGAATGTGAGTAGTGAGATAGATAACCGTCTGGACAGAGTGGAAGATTCAATATCAATTGTAGAAGATCAGCGGAACCTTAACTCCTCCTGGGATCAAAATACAGAAGCAACCCTCCAGGATTCTAAGGATCTTTTGGAGCTTCACAGGGTACAGCATGAGAAGCTGAGACAGCGTTTAGATGAGTTGGACAGAGAGGTGAAAGCTGAGGCCAAAAGCTGCAGAGAAACAACTAAAGATGTGGGGCTGGAGCTCACCAGCATGGACAGTCGGATTGTTAATGTTGAAGCTCTGTGTAACAAGCTTGATCCCATCTCCAACAACCTCCTGAGGATCAAAGAGGGCCTGAATAGGCACATCACTGGACTGTGGAGCTGTGTGAACCAGCTGAACGGCACGGTACAAAACCAAGCCAATGATATCGGAGGGCTGAAGGGAACATGTGAGACTCTTCAGGACCGAATCACAAACATAGCCAGAACCCTTCAGACCCTAACAAATGGTTCTCCTGGGAAGGAAGGTAAGCTGTCTATCCTTCCAATCAGACATGAGCTGAATCATTCTGGGGCTTGGATAAAGGATAATGTCCTTGTAGCTGAAACATTATGCATGAATAAGCACCATTTTATAATAATCATATTACTCTCAAAAATAATATATGTTGGTTTTATTAGTCCTAGCAGGTGGCGCAGTTAGTGCACACGACCCATATATGCAGGCCTTACTCCTCGATGTGGGCGACCCAGGTTCCAATGCGACCTGTGATCCTTGCATGTCATACCCCCCTTTCCTGTCAGCCTGTTGTCAGAAAAACAAGCCACTAGTGCTGCAAAAACTCAAAAAAAAAAAAAAAAACAGACTGGAGTCTGTCGAGAACTGTGAAAAGCCTTTGATCACAGGAGTGGAAGAATTAGCTCCTGTGTGGTTCAGTTGCTTTTTCTTCTCTAAACCAGCTTGGGCTACTTTTTTTTTATCTGGTGGCTCAATTCAAACAATACATACTGGAAGTGTCAACTGGAAGTCATTCAAATTCTTAATACTTTTTTTAAGTAAACCCAAAATGTATTTTTTTATAATTTCATGCTCTTTTTTGCATAATTGAGACACAACTGCTGCTTGTAGAGTAGTTCAATCTGAAAAACTGACACGGAAAGAAAAAGACAGAAGAATTTTATTTATTTTAAGACTTTGGCGCTCAGACCTTGACAGGAAATATTAGCGCTGAATTTTACTCTAATATGCATAAGCAGGTGTATGAGAACTGGGATGTCCCCCTCCAGGTCTGAAACTGGTGGTGGAGTCCATAGACTGCTGGCTGGCGAGATCATGTGCTTGAGCTGTGTTGGTGAGATCCCTAGACTGTGTGAGCTGATACTAGTGCTTCACTTAGGGACCTGGAAGATAGATGTCCAGCTTGGATAAACACAGATTTTTATGAACCTGTCCATGATGAGCAAGCATGAAGCGACAGTGGAGAGGAAAAATTCCCCTTTGGGAAGAAACCTCTGGCAGAACCAGCCTCAACATGGCGGTCTACTGCTGGACCTATTGAGATGTGACAGGGAATGTAATAAGGGTCCGGGAGGAATTATACTCGGATAGGGACGAGGTTGAAGAAGAACTGTGGAAAAGCCAGATGGAGCTTAAGCTACGATGGTGGAGAAGGGGATGAAGGTGGGCGAATCGGGGTCATCTGAGTGAAAATCAGACATGTTTGTGCGTGGCTGGGTATGAGGCTGAGTCGTGGATTTGAAGACCTTTTAAGATGAACTCTGGATGCTGATTGGTCTTTGTGAAGGGGCGGTTCAAAGCTGATTGGTTTGCATCAGAGGCAGATGAGCCTCTGATGATGAAGGCAGGCAGTTTTGTTTCTTCAGTTGAACTTCTGCCTAGGCTTCATTTTAAACACTGCTCTTTGTTTCCTTGATTGTCTGTATTTTTGTCTGTATAGTTCTGTCAAGTAAAAAAAAACAAGAAAATGAAAGTTTACACTGGTAGTTTGGGAGGAAACCTAAACTTAAGGTCCATTGACTGAATTTGGTCAATTAAAAATTATTTACTAATAAAAGGGTGGGGGCCCTGCCCCTACAATACGATACTCTTGTACAAGCTGTCATGGTTATTTTGTTTTTTTTTCACAATGCTCAGCTTTTTATAGCTTTGAGGCATCAATATTTTCTAAGAGATTAACGAATACTACTGTCTACTACCATAGAATCGCCCTGATGCTACAAATAAACAAAACATTTTTTTTTTTTTTACTCAAATCATCTTGATATCCATTCAATGTTTTTAACATCCATTTTTTAAAAGAAAACCCTTTAGCTTCTTTTTTTCCCTCAGCTGCTAACTCTGTCTTTATGATGTGCTGACTGGCCTGCAGGAGAGCCCCAAATGTTGGCGTGTGTTTCAGTGTGAGCGAGCAAAGAAGCTGGATGTTCTTTAAGCCATGCTCTCATGTAAAGCAGGCAAGCTTGATTGAAGACACATGCCTGCTTTAACAGACCCCATGTTGTGTTGAGCAATGCTTTGGCATCAAGGAATAAACTTAACCAGACTCATATGTGCGTCCAGCAGTGTGTTTAATGGGTGTGAGTTTGTCCATGTTATGTTGCATGTTTTGCAGCTCAAGGTGGTAAAAAACAAAATCTGCCTTTACAGTTAGAGATAGCTTTGATGGAGCCTTTTAATAATTTAACCATCTTTATCTTTTATTGAACCAGAAAAATAACTAATTGAGATCAAAACCTCTTTCAAAAGTGACCTGGCCAAGACAGCAGCACAAAACATACAAGACCAAAATGCAAAATAAGATACATTAATACATAATCAGAAAGGAACACATAATTGATCATTACAAAGGCCAAATTATTTAATGCTTCTGTCGATAAGCTCATTTCTGCTGTTGCACTTTGATTCTAACCCTCAGTGAATATATTTTCCATTTAACGTTGAGCTATTGCATTTAATATGTTTGATTTGTAGTGGAAGTTGAAGCATAGATCTGTGAACCATGTGATATTTTTACTTTAGTTTGTTCTACCAGGAAGTTGACAAATCTTATGGACTTGCTCAAAATTAACTAACGATTAAACCATCAAAGGTATTGTATAAAAAAGTGGCTTATTTCTCAAACTTTAACTATGATTATACTTAGGATATGTATCGGCATCAGTGGTTAGGGTGCATACATTTGTCCAGTTTGAACCATTGCTCCATCCGTCTTAATACTCGTGTCTTTGAGCAGGACACTAACCCCACATCGCCTACTGATGGTGATCAGAGGGGCTCATTGTTCGCGCTTCTCACACTGTTCCCCAGAGGAGCAGTAGGTTGCAGCATTAGTGTGTAAATGTGTACATGAATGGGGGAATGACTAAATGTTGTGTAAAGCGTGTTTTAGTTACAGTAGCTTTAAAACTTTTTGAAAGGCGTTCCATCAGATTGATTTTTTTCTTGAAACTTGCACATTTTCATCCTCCAACAGATGTTGAGCACAACTCAAACACAGTTTTTACTTCTGCAAATAACCGTAAATAACAATTACCAAGCAGCTCTGTCCTGAAAAGCCTGTTTAAAACTAAACTTCTCAGGTTCTTGGGCTTAAAATCAAACACAATCCATAATTAAATACACTGTTATAAAGATGCTATTATACCCCATAATTACAAACAACACATGACACCCAATCGAGCAGCACGACTAGAGCAGGTTAGCAAATACATCTTAGGTGGCTCTATCATCACATCCCAGACCTGGAATAGAACATTAAAAACAGCCTGTCAGCCGTGCTACACAATTTTAACACCTGCTGACTGTCGCTGCAGGCTCATCAAGTGGGAGGGCGATTTGCAAAGTCAGTGACTCAGTGTAGTTGGCTGGGTTTCCTTAGATAGAAAACCTTTAACAAATCTCTATGATATGATTGAATTGTCTCTCTGTCTTGAATGAACATTTTGTGAATTAGTCCAATATAGAAAACTGAAATGAATAAGTGTGTAATTAATCTGTTTAACTGATTTGCCAAAAGGAACATATTTATTTATTCCAAGAAATAAAACATTGCAGGAGAAAGCCTATTCTAGGCTGAATATCTGAATCTGGGTATCTGAATAGATATAAATCCTATTTTTCCTGTTTATTCCAGTTTAGAACAATACAAATTAGTTGAGTGATTTACTCACTGTTTGCGTGTGCATTGCTGTTCTTATGTTGTTTTGTTTTTCTATTTGTGTTCTAACTCTGAAATCCAAAGTGTTTATCATTGTTGATAGAAATAGCCAGGAAGGATTGAGTCAGTTGTTGTGGTAGAGTTGATACAGAGGCTGCAAAGGACAGAAGATTGGTTTAAGTCCAGACACAGACTTAGTCGAAGTTCAAATGAGAATCTGTAGCAAAAACTTGTAGATTCCTGTTCATGGACGCTGTCCATCCATCCACTCTGAGCATGATATATTGCAGGAACAGGAATTTTATTCAGTATGTGTTTAAAGCTGGTTGATAAATACCTCAAAATACTTTCTACTGTAAATAAAAAGAGACGTAGGTCAGCAAAATATTTACTAAGGGGGAATTAATACACATGCATGCACCACCTTTTAATATTACATCCTTTTTTATGAAAACCACTTCATGTTTTGCACAAAACATTTTTGCTCTCCATATATCGTAAAATATGAAGTTAGTCTGTCATTTTAATTTGAACTTACTTACTTGAAACTGTGTGTTAATCAGACTTCTTTGCAGGACTCTTACCTTTGACATTTTTACAATCCATCATAGAGTTTGACTCATGACAGCATATTTTGTCATATTTTAGCTGTTACCATCCCACCCAAATGACGTACTCTACTGCAGGGTTAACAAGCTTTAACATCCACATTTCTCATCCTGCTCATCATTCATCTTTCATTTTTAAATAGGCTTGGCTTTTGCATCATCATATTTTTTTTATACTGCTGCATACTTCTCAAGGGAATCCACACATTGATGGTACCTATGAGACTGAGCTAGACTCCAGCAGTCGTGAATGTGAACTTGGGGCTCTCACTCTGTTTAGATGCCAGAGCTCTTCCTTTGAGAGCAACTCCATTTGCTGTTTTTTATTGGTCTCAGTGATTTACTATCCAGTCCATACTAGAATAATTCCAAACAGTGGTCTCTGTTTAGCCTACCAACTGTTTTCTAAAGTTTCCATTTAGGTGAAAATTATTTTCTTCTAAGTGTTGTATCTGAGTTTTAAATGTTCTAATTTTTTCCCAGAAAAGCAATTCTGTTGTGACTCAGAACTAATCTCACTCCACCCTGTTAATTATATAATTTAGTAATTTTTTTCCCCCATAAAATATGTTTGACGTCCACTGCCTTGTTTCCTGCATGTTGGAGGGCACTGTGTCGGCTCTCTGTTTGACTTGTTCTATGTTATCTTACTTTGAGCTTATCTAAAGTGGCTGGAAAATGCTGCCCTGTCACATAGTTGTCTTTGCACACCTTAGCATGGATTGTCACTAATGGACAACA